CGAGTACCTTTGGAGCCTCAGGGTTATAGAAACTTTTACAGGAACCCTTTGAAGGATCCCTTCAAAGTACGCCCTATTCTAATGGGCCTTAGATTTCATGAGGCAGCCCCGAAACCCGCAACCGAGGACCCCCACCTACCACGTCCAGTGATCCTCCAACGAACCCTCAACCATAAAAACCTAAGCCCTAAACCCTAAGCCCTAAGCCTTGAACCCTAAACCCTAAACCCTAAACCCCTAACCCTAAACCCTAAACCCTACCTAGACCCTACAGAACCTACCTCTTTCAAGGACTTATATAAGGAAATCATAATAAGGAACCCTACAAAGGTAGGTTCTTTAGTGTCCAGGTAAACCCTAAACCCTATTCCGAGGCAAGCCCCGCCGGAAGAAGTTTCCAAAGGACTGCCTGCAAAGAAAGGTGTTTCCTTTAGCGCGCGGCCAGACATAGAGCAGGGTTAAGCTTAGGTAGGGCTTCCGGTTTAGGGTTTAGGGTTTAGTGTTAGGGTTTAGGGTTTAGGGTTGGGCACCGGCCAAAGACTCTTGAAATCCAAAGCCGCTCCGAAACCCTTTGACAGTGTCAAGCACAACCGGATTAGCGGCCAAAACCCTTAGGTCTAGGATGCAGAACTGGGGCGACTTCGGAACGCCCCAATGTTGGATTCATTTTGGAAAGGGGTTTAGGGGTCTTCTTGTTTGGGATCTAGGGTTCCTTGTTAGGCTTCCTACGGCTCCCTTGGGGTTCTCTTAAGGGGTTCTTGGGGTTTAGGGGTTTAGGGTTTAGGGGGATGGTTTAGGGCTCCTTTGGAGACCCGATAAATGAACCCTTATCGGGAGGCCTCAATTGAACCCTAAACCCTAAACCCCTAAACCCCTAAACCCTAAGCTCTAAACCCCTAAACCCCTAAGCCCTGAAAGGAGCAAGTGGAGAGCCATGCGCTCAGCGGTTCTGTGGAACTCAGAGCTGCCGAGAGTACTTTCATATAGGGGCCCTAAGAATTCGAATAGGGTTTTGAGGTTGAGGGTTTAGGGCTTAGGGTTTAGCGTATAGGGTTTGGAGGGTTTGGGTTTTTGGTTTTGGGGCCCATTATACTATACTAATAATCATCATAATAAGGAACCCCCCAAACACAGTAGCCCTACATTACTTTCATGTCGGGCTTAGGCTACCTTTGTGGAACTCGTAAAGATTTCTCTTTCAAGGCACTACAGGGAGTTAGTGTTGAGCATGTAGGGGTTGAGCTTTGGATTCTTGGCTTTGGGGTAAGCATGTTATGTGTCATCACTGCAAGCTTCGGCATGTAATCCGCGACTCTAGCACGGTTCCCTTCGAAGGGCAGCTGGCGAAAATACACTGCCCTTTGGTGTTTAATAAGTGCACAGAAAGGGCTGCATAGTTGCCTCAAGCCGTTTCATGCTATTCTGAAGAAGCCCCTTCGCACAGCCAGTTGTGTTGTGTGGACCTTACATTCCACGATATAGGTACATTCTGTTGCGACATAACTCCTGCATTACCTTAAGGACCCTAGGCTTAGGGTTTAGGGTTTAGGGCCTAAACTATGGGAATTATTGTAGATTCCTTATTATGGCTAATGCAGGATTTGTCTCATCAACCGTAGGACTCTTTAAATTCTTTGGAGCCCCTACACCCCGGGTTTGGGATCCTAGTAACCCCGAAACCCTCAACCCCTAAACCCTAACCGTAACCCCTAACCCCTAAACCCTAAACCCCTAAACCCTAAACTCTGACCCCGAAACCCTAAGCCCCTAAACCCGAACACCTCAACCCGAAATAAAACCCTAACCCCTAAACCGTAAACCAGGTGGTAGCACCTCCACACGAGAAGCGGCCGAGGACTTCACTGTCCAATGTCTCATCTTTTCGGTCTTTTTAAGGGCTGAGTAGGTTCAGGGTTTAGGACTCAGGGGTTAGGGAGGGTTTAGGGGGCTGAGTAGGTAGCCTTTATTAAAGGTTACTTAAGGCTTCCAGGGCTTTTTTTATTCAAAAGCTTCAATTTTTTTGGGGGTGAGCGTGTTCAACCCCTAGGGTTTCGTGGTGTTTAGGATATAGGGTTCTGTAAGTTGGGTAATGTAGGAATGTTGTAGCATTGCCAATATCATACCCCCTGGGTTTCTTGGGTATAGTATTCAGGGTTTCGGATTGTAGAAATGTGTTGCCAACAGGGTCATCAGTGCTTTCATTCGGACTACACGGCTTACATCTGCATAAGTTTGGAGTCGGGACGATTAAAACAGGGTCTTGGTGTGTGTGTTGTTAGTTTAGCAAGTGTAATGATACGAATAAAGAACCGAAAGGAATAGCATTATGGCTTCTATATTATATGGGTAGTTGTCAAAATTATGGTCCCTTTTGGGGTACCTTAAATGATAGGTGCCCTATTATAATAAGGACCCAAAAAGGGACCATAATTTGGACAACCACCCATATGTACAGCTTGTTTGCTAGATCCCTCGAGCCGTCAAGCAAGGCCCGAACGGCCCCGAGCCCAAAGATGTCAACCACCTCAGACTGCAAGCGTCCCTCAACCCTAAACCCTAAACCCATGTGTGAGGACAGCAGTGCATCCGCTTCAGCAGAGGAGCTGTTCATGAGGGTCTTCCGTGCATGAAGTCGTTAAAATCCTGGGACCCCTCAATTCAGCACCTTGTTGGGTAAGGGCCTTATAAGGTCCTTTAGGATCAGGACCCTACAGTAAGAAAGCGACGTCATCAAACAGTAGTACAATTTAGGGATGCCGATGGGAGAACTTCAAACCCAGAGACTCCAATATCCCTTAATTAAGGAATATACGTTAAAATATAGTAGGTTCCCTGTTATGATTTAAAGTATATTCCTCTTTCAGGGACATTGGAGTCTCTGGGAACTTATTGGGCTAGTATATTTGGTCTATCGTAGAAAGTTTGAACTTTCTTCGGCCGGGTCATTGAAGAAGAGAGTGTTTAGGGTTTGCTAGAACGGGGATGCTTCATAAGCAGGTGCGACGAAGAGATATGGAAACCTGTGGATCCGCGAGGATATCGGTCACGTAGGTGGTTTATAAGGTTAAGGGTCAAGAGTTCAGGGTTTAGGGTTTAGGTGGCTTGTTACTGTAGTTTTTGAGGTTGTGCTACGTTCACGTTTGGTGCGCGTGGTTCCTGAGCTTACAGTTACGGGTCATGGGTCTCAACGGCTGCGCTACGGCCAAAAGTACGGTAAACCCTTACACCCTAAACCCTTAGACGCTTAGACCCTAAACCCCAATTAAACCCTAACCTAGAGGCTCCATATATACTACCATTATGGAATTAAGTCCCAAAAGACCATACTTATAATGGCTTTAGGGACCTGATTCCATGAGGGTAGTATACATGGAGCCGCTGGGTTCCCCAAACCTCAATCCCTAAACCCTAAACCCCAACCCCTAAACTGAGGCACGGCCTCCGTT